AACACCTAGAACTCTAAATTTAGCACCAAATCAAATGAAATTCTCAAGAACACTTTAAAAATTCTATTTTCTCAACTGGACATCTGAATCACGTCAAATTAACTCCGTTGCTTACCAAATTTCATAGACATGTCTTAAATATCATAATGAACCTATACCGGGCTCCGAAACTAAAATACGAACCCGATACTAACAATGCCAAATATAAATCAATTCTTAAAAATAAATAATTTTTAAACTTTTAATTTTCATAAAAAATTCATAACTCAAGCTAGAGACTTCAAAATTTGATTGCGGGCATACGTCCAGATCCCATAATTCGATACGGACTATCGGGACCATCAAAGCACGGATCCGGATCCGTTTTTCAAAAATGTTGACCGAAGTCAACTAAAATCAACTTTTAAGGCAAAAGTTCTTATTTTTATTAGTTTCCAACATAAAAGCTTTCCGAAAACCTACCCGGACTGCGCGCGCAAATCGATGAGGGTAAAAATGAGATATTTAATACTTAAGAGCGCAAATTCGAGTTCTAAAACATAAGATGACCTTTTGGGTCATCACAGTTTGTGAAAATGGGAAAAGATATAACGGGAAAAGAATAAGGGGAGAAAGAGAAAAGAAATGGAGGGGTGGGGAAAGAACGGGAGAGGGGAAGGGTAGAAAGAGAAAAACAAATGGGGGAGGGGTGGGGAAAAGAAGAAAGATGAGATATATTTTGTTTTTTATTATATTAGTTTTTTATTTTTTACTTTTACTTTTTATTTTTTCTTCTTATTTTAATCATTTTTAGTCTAACTTTTTTATGTTTACGCGTGAAGTTCACGTATTTCGTCCAACTCGGTCATGAAGTTGCCACATATGCTTGGTCAACGATCGAAGGATTTAAAGTAATGTGTTTTAAAAACTATGAGTGTCTCGATGAAATTTAATAGAGTATCGAAACCGAGATAACAAAACGGGACAAATAGAAATGTTTATTAGACTATTTTTCGGTTATAAGTGACTTTTCTAACCAATTTCTATTAGTTCATGGACCTTCTAAGAAAGTAAATCTGCTTTGGACATGTATTTTGTAATTAAGATAATTAAGGGACTAATATGGAATTGCAACATTTGCTTAGTGATCGCAAGTTGCAAGTTCATCTTACACAACTCACATGCAGTTTATCGCAGGAATTTGATGATGTATACGATCTCACTTGTGGAGTCCGATAGAACGTTTAATATGTTTGTTGCAGGAATTTGAGGATGCAAAATTAGTTTTCCAGCAAAAAGAGATATGTCTCAGTGTAAGTGTGGCTCATCATTTGAAAAAACAACCAGCTAATCAACATTAGTTTTGTCAGCTTTTACCTGACCACCCACAATTAATTATACAGATCACATTTTTACATGTGAAGTCCAATTCGTGGTACGAGGCACAAATTTATTCCACAATGCATACAATTTTAGTGGCTTTCATGATGACAAGTTGCACAAAGGTCTATGATACAAAACCCTGATGTTAGAACTTAAGCAATCCACCTCTTTAATTCTTTTAGTTTGGACCTTTCATTCATTCGCTGGGCTCACTTTCAATATATATAGGCATCAAATGTCAATTGCACATTAATTGATGCAAGACCAATAGCCATAACAAATTACTTATAATTGATCTAGATGCAGAATTTCAGAAAAAGAAAGAAGCTTTACGACAAATTGTTCTGAAAGAAGGAATATAGTTGATTGTCAAACATCAAATGATTATGAGGAAGATACAATCACTTTTCCTATACCAATATCTGGTTTGACCGTTAGGAGGCAAAGGTATTGTGTTCAGAACATGATTGGAATTTCTGTAGTAATTTTGACGACCAAGGGATATCTTCTCTATTAATCCAATAAAAGATATGAAATTTTTTGTATACATTCTTATTTGCTTAATATGAATGAATTGGCTAACCATACAACTCATCCGACCAAACTACTAAACTACGATCTGGGAGTAACCTCAATGTGTTCTAATTCATGGTAATAGAGAGAGTACATTAAATTATAAGGCGGCAGCAGAATTGGATACATATTTGAAAATTCTTGTTTCAAAAAATCCCTATAGGTTAGCAGAACTGGAATTCACAGTCTAAAATGTTCAAATTTTACAATACGCAATCTATACAGAAATTAAAAATTTACATGCAATCGGTGTTTAAAGCGAATCAATGAATGCTTGTGCTAAATATGAGCACTTTTATCATTTAGCCATCATTAAATTAAACTGCATGTATTATCACTTTAATTTGTAGTAACATTTATGGTAAATTTATTAGATTTAGCATAAGCATTAAGTGTAAAACTAAGTAAATAATAGTAACACGCTTCAATCAATGCAAAAAATCAGCAATGGACTTGGTCAATTATCCATCCTTCACTTGGATTCTTGGATACATGCGTTTGTCTGGAAACGTTGAATCACAATCTTAGAAGATCTTGGTAAAACCTTTTTGTTTTCAAATTCCTTCTTTCTTTGGCATGCAGAATAAGAACAATCGTTTGTTTAACCAAGAAAAATAAACAAAAGGGATGAGGCAGTTTGTCAGAGCTAGGCATTTGTGCTTTAGCAGCCGAAAGCGTTTAAGGGTAGCTTTTGACTGGTGGAAGATTTGCCTTTTTAACTTCAAACATTCTTTTCACTTTGCTTTCAGTAATCTCATTTCTATAAGATATGAATATGTTATGACTATTAGATGGCCTTCCGCGTTTGGTCAACTTTGGTAAACAAGTTGTTCTCAATATTCCTTTCCTCCAAATCTATTAAGTTAGTTAATATATACTAGCTTTTTGCTCATAACATATGGTCGTCAATTTAATTAGCGTATTCTGTTTGAATATTCAAAACCGTTTACATCAAGTTGTACCGACAGTTAAAGGTTGGGATCCTGTGATTACTAGAACTAGAATAATGGTCCGTCTAAAATTAATTAAACACGTTGCTTAATCCGCGTTAATGCAGCCTTTGTGATTGTAGAGACAAGAGAGAAGACCGAGAATTGGCTAAAATTTACTTGAATTAATAAAGGGAGCCTGATGGGCTTGTATTTCATGTATCCATCACCACCTTTGCAAATTGCTGGCTAATACCTCCACCATGCACGTAACCTTTTTGCTATAAATCGTTGATAGTGAGTAATGTCTCATCCTCAAGTTGAGAACTAACTACTCTCAGTTTCATTTTATGTGACATTTTTTTTCTTTTTATGATGTTTAAAAAAACTAGTATCTCATTAATTAATTAATTATATGTCTGAAAATATTAATTTTTTTACTTTAAACTTTCTATTCTATCTTTAGTGTTATGATTTTTATATATAACCATGGAAATGCCATGACTTATTTAGTATCACGCGTTTTAAAAATTTTTCTTTTATTTTTTAAAATTTCATATATTCCAGTCAAATAGATTCACATAAAATGAGACGGATGGGGTAAATAGTAAATCTTAAAGCTAGCAAACTATGTTCAACATCATTTGATGGGTTTCTTTTTTCAGGATAATATTTTATGTGTATTTGGTCTTTTTGGATTGTTTTATTAAAAGAAAAACTCCTTGAGATGCATGGTAAGCCAATTGATCGTCATTGTTATTTTGAAATAACAAGTACCATATCATATGAGGCCGTGATTATCTAAAGACAGATAAGGAAATTGGGCTATCAAAATAAATATGTAAGAGTTATGTTCCTCATCATTAAGTATGTGAAACAAAATTGTCAACTTGTACAACGATTCTGGAATCTACTTGGCGTTTTCAAAGCTCTCTGAGCCACAACAAGTTCTTGCAATTAAGTTTTATAAATAATTTCCATGTCCTCATATTTCACTATCTTCCAGATATCCCATAAGACTACGTACGACAAACGGCACCATAAATATTAATCATAACAGGAAGACTAAACTCAATTTCTAATTTCCCTATTACCAGAAAAATTAGAACAAATAACAAGAAGACTGTGATACTCCATGAAGAAAACCATTAAAACATTCCGGGTTCTTACTAGAATGTGGAGTAATATATGCTTTCCTGTTTTGGAAAGTGCTAAACCCACAGGCTAAGGTAAGAAAAGTAGTCCCACATGCTAGAAGCTTCATAGGCCCCGACTATTATAAGCTACTATACGTTGCTTGACAAAAGTGGAAATGCAAATCGAATTCTCAAACTTGCATCTCACTTTCCAGCCTAGGCCACAAAATAAAAGACGCCATAAATTAATTAGTTCGTGGATCAAGAGGTCACAATTTGGACAACAGTAACAAGGTTCCATGTCAATCTCCTAGTTAATGGTGTTCCTTTGGATTTCCCTATCCCTTTTAATTAGCTACTCCCTCCGTCTCAAATTATCTGTCGTGATTTCTAAAGTTATTGTCTAAATTTATTTTTCATATTAGTAGTTCAAGACTAAATTAATTATTTCTTTTCCATTTTACCCTTAATATGATATTGTTCTTGAAGATGAAGATAATACATAAATAGGAAGATTATATATATCTTAAAACATAAATAAGGGTAAAATAGTCCAAACCTCTTCTCATTAATATTTTCTTAATTAAGTGGCGTGTAAAAAAGAAACACGACAGATAATTTGAGGGGAGAATATTTGTAAAGAAAAACAACAATTTGCTTCTAAACAGACCCAAAAGGAATGTTAGCCCAATCCTGGTAAAACATAAATGTCAGCAAGACAGTGCTATGTTTAATTATCAGAAATTAACAGTACTACTTGCAATCGGAACACGACTATTAAACAAACAAAGGTATTATCTACCAGTACATTTCTCTTTCATTAAATTCCTGTGGTCAGACTTAGTTACTGCCCCTTTGAGAATTCTTGTCCTACTACTTCATCCTCAACTTTCCGTCCAATATATTATTCTGGTCATTTGTTTATTTCTGAAAAGCTTGGAATTACATATATACATCCTAGTCCATTTAATTAAGATAAAATTTCCTCATTCTCCCTGACATCAATATGTGCTAAAAGTCGCCCTTGTCACTCACCCTAGTTCACACTCGAGCTTTGGGATTGGCATTCTCTCCATTTCATTATAAATTCAAGCCACCACACAACACAGAGTCACAGAGCTAAATATAGCATATATATATATATATATATATATATATACCTCCCTGCATATCTTCCTCAGAGTCAAATTAAGCTTCAAGCAAAACAACCATGTCTAAAGCATCTGCCAGCTTTTTCTTCATCATCCTTCTCCTCTCTTTTACCCTGTCCTATGCTGCTCGCCCTGAGCCAACTTTTCATGAGGCCACCCTCAACAATAATATTCAAAACCAGGTAAAGCTCAAACTATCAACAGCTTAAGTTGTCAAAGGGAACATTTTTAATCAATTATATTATGTTAATTCAATAGTGATGACATTATTGTTATAGATATTTGTTAAATATGTTATACTCATTAATATGATTTTTTTTTTTTTTTGGAATTATCTCAATTCTCAGGACGTTGTGGAACCAAAACAAGTTGGTAAGGAAGAGAACTGCAAAGGAATCAAGGAAGAAGAATGTTTGGAAAGGAGGACTTTGGCTGCTCATCTTGATTATATCTATACCCAAAATCAAAACCCTTGAAAGCGTGTTCCCAAGGACGAGAATCAGCTTGTTTTATTATTATTTGACCAAGGTTTTAGTTTGATTATTGCTTATAGATATAACGAAACCAGTTATAGGAAGAGTCAGTTATCACATATATTAAATTGCTCTCTCTGTGTTTCTTGTTGATTTTCCCTGTACGTCAAGCTGTATTCTCATATAAACTTCCTCCTGTAACCCAGCTGATTGCTACTATATTTATACTATTCTTGTGATTTGGTGTATTTGACCTAAGGTGTTAACTACGGGGTTCACTGGTCGTTGCGATATGATAATCCAATACCTGGTTCTAATACTTAATCATCGTATTAATTAATAATATTTTCAGTGAAGTATTAGTTTACACAGAAATTTCGCACCTAGTCTTTGCACAACATAATATATAGTATCTTTTACTAAAATTTATTATTTAATTTGCCAATGATGTCTATATAAATTAATCAGGTTCGTTGCTTACTCCACATTAGCCCTGCATTTGCCGCCGCTGGAGACGAGAAGACCGGGAGTTGAATTAACTAGAATTTATTACTAAAAAGAAGAGCGTTGGACTTGTATATTGTTTGGCAAATCCTAAGCCAGCTCCTTTACAGCTGACCGTATTCTTTTCGTGTGATAGTGATAAACATAGTATCATGTTCAAGTTCATTGCCAATAAGAATGCTGACTTAAATGTTTACTATTTCTGTCTATATCTCAGTATTAACACCGTATTAATTTCAACTTTAATTTTTTAGAAGTTAGTTTATTTTTTTCAGGTAAAAATTTATGCAAATTCTATTTAGATTATTTTGTCAAAAGAAAATCCGTTTAGATGGTAAGACACAATGCGTCATCGATTTTGTTTTGAAATACAATTTACTACCATATCATTTATGGAAAATTGTAGTTTTTTTCTTTTCCTTTTGAAATTAATTGATAAGTTAAGAAGAATATGGTCAATATTTTTATTCCATAAGACTTCTAGTACAAAAGAGACAAATATGTTTGGGACTTTGGCAAATTCTCGAGAAGTATTTCTTTCACCTCTTCAATGGAAACGACTTGTGCTATCCGACGCCAACTAGTGTGACTCACGTTTAGGGATAGTTAGGGTTGGTTCGAATTTTCTAATTATCAAACCTAATTAATTGTATCGGGTTATTAAATCTAAATATCATATCAAACTAAGAAAAATCGGATTTTTTAATCTCGGTTTTTCTCGAATATTTTGGATTTTCAGGTTTTTTCGATTGTTTTTTCATAAAGTCTTTATAGCACAAAACGTAAAATTTGTGCTCCAAATATTTCTTTAGTAAGACAGAACTATATAAGGTATTTTTAAATAAAATAACATAAATATGAGATGAGTTATGGCATTGTACTAAAATATTCAACAATAAAGATAATAAAATTACATAAATTAAATATTATTAATAAGCCATAATGAAAACAAATATAATTTAAAATTATGACTAATAAGTACTATTATTTACATGACTAACCACTAAAAGAAAAATAAGTTATATATTTTATCTAAACCATAAAAAAATAAAAAAAATAGATATCCGACACTATTTTCATTCATAGTACAATTGAATTAAATATCTTTTATTAGCATTAATATTGATTTGATTTTGGTTTAGGATTTATTTGAATTATTAACATTTATGACTATAAAATTTATTGGAGCATCCAAAAATTATAAGTCCAAACTTGAAATAATACAGTAAAAGATAAAACTATGAAAAAGTATAAGAAATATTTATAAACTATGCTACAATAAATATTTTTATGTATTAAATATATTTAAAACTTCTATACATATAATGTCGGGTTGATTTGATTTCGGTTTGACTATTTTTAGTTAATATCAAACCAAACCAAATATGGTCGGGTTTTTTTTCCAACACCAAACCAAATCAAACCAAACCATAATCGGGTTTTTTTTTCGGTTTGACTCGAATTATCAGGTTGGTGCGGTTTGTCAGTTTTATTTGTACACCCCTACTCACGCTAACGGGAAATATGTTTTGTGAATTTTCCTGAAGGCTAATGACTTCTTCATTACAAAAACTAATGTACAGTAATAATTTTGGTATAATAAAATAAAATTGAATGATTATTCATGAAACTAATCCGTTGGAACGCTCATTCTCCTATATAAAAAGTGCCTAAGGAACAGGAGAAGCTGACAGGACTTCGACGACATGCCAGCTTAAACTAAGGGTGGCAAGTGGGCCGGTCCGGGATCGGGATCGGCTCAGGACCGCGGGCCAAACAGGCCAAGGCTAGAGACCAGTATTAGTGGGCCTGGGCCGGTTCTATGCTTTGGGACCTCCAGGGACCGGGACCGTTTGGACCTCCAAGGACCAGGACCGGACCGGTCCCTTGGCGGGCCAAACGGTCCCAACGGTAAAATTAAAAAAAAAAAATTAAAAAACAGTTATTGGCCTGTCAAAAATAGTCATTTAACCCAACCCCCCCTCCCCCCCAAACTTTGTTATAACCCCAAACGTTTTATAATTATATTTTTTCCCTATTTTCAACTATAAATACCCCTCATTCTTTCATTTTTCTTACAAAATCAATATCAATCTCTCTCTAATTTTTTTCTATACTTGCTACTATTGCTTACTTTATTGTTACAATTTGTGAAAAAATTGTGAAGTTGGTGATTTGAAGTCTTCAAGTCTTCAACAATAATCAATTTTCAACAAGTTGTTCGTCAATTCGGTAAACTCGTTCCAACTCTTAAGTTTTAATATTATAGTTTTGTTTGTTTTATTTATTTGCTATTGCTTGATTAATTAAGATGGCTTCCTTAAAAAACTTTTTGGTAAAAATAAAAAGGAAAAATCCAAGAGTGGCGAATCTAGTGGTCATGATGTTCCTCCTCCCCTGCCCCCGGCTCCCCGAACCAAACCCTATATCCGTCCTACACCTGCTATTCTTGATAGCGATAATAGTTTATTACAATTTACCGAGAATTAGTGATAAACATGAGCCAAAATAGAAATACATAGTAGAATTCCCAAAATCAGGTAGTATAGAGTCATGATCTCTAGACCTAATACATAAGATATCTCAAAAGTACAATACCATCTGAAAGTAATACAACAGTATGAAAATAAGTGAAGGGTATTCCAAGGGTCTGCGAAGTCCATGCAACACTACCTTGAATCCTCTTGAACAAAGAAAACCTCTCTCTCGAAGTCCTATACCTCCAGCACCCAGACGTGCACAAAATATGCAAAAGTATGGTATGAGTACAAGATAACATGTATTTAGTAAGTATAAAGTCTAACCTCGCTGAAGTAGTAACGAGGTTTAAGTCATGTAATACTCACAAATCAAAGAACTTGTACAACATATCCAATAGATGGCAACAAGAATATAACAAGGTGCAATATCGAAGCTCAACAAAACATGAGATAACAACTCAACATAAGTAAAACCATCCTGACTTTCAAATTTTTAAATGGTAACAGAGGCATATGATAGCATGCTAACTACAACATGGAAACATGTTTAAATGCATGACAAAACATTAAAGATTGCATGTGCATGAACAAGAATACCACCCTTATTCTGCCACATGAACATCAATAGTGAAATGCCACCCTTATACTCCATACATTAACAACAATGAAATACCACCCTTATAATCCACACAACATCAAAAGTGCAATGCCACCCTTATATATCACACATCATAATCAATCACAACAATCATGGTACCATAATCCACGTGTACACCATCAAGAAATAAAAATGAAAGGGTGACCCTAGGGGGATGGATCCGTAACCACACGCTGCCCGGCAACAACTCCGTGTATAATAATAATCACAATCGCACGGCAAAGGTCTCATGAAACAATATTATTACAATCGCACCTTGTGCCAAAATATCATCACAATCGCATGGCAAAGACCTCGTGCCACAATATAATCACAATCGCACGAAAAAGACCTCGTGCCAACACCCAATCAATCCGTCCAATGTGTCCACATGTGGCATGATCATAATAATACAATATTCCAAATTATCATCAAAATACTTGTACTCATAATTCGTTAACAAGGTGCATAAGGACATGATAATAATAAAATGCAGATGAGCGTTCAACATATAAAGCATGACTTCAGGTTAATCAGTTGTTGCAACTAGGTTCATGTAGTCATAGAATAATTAAGCACATTTCATATAAATCATGTCATCAAAATAAGGCATATTAGAATCCTAAGGTATAATCCGGTCAAAACCACACAAAGAACCCCGTGTATATGCTCGTCGCCTCGCGTTCACGTCGCTTTACACATAACTTAATTAGGCAAATAAGGCCAAATCCAAAGGGTTATTCTATCACATAAAGTTAGGCAAGACACTTACCTTAATAATCCCCAAATTAACCCTAAATAATAGCCTTTCCCTTAAAAAATCACCTTCGTCTGGCTCAATCTAGTAAAAAATAACTCAATAACATCAAACAATGCTATAAGAAGCAATTTCAAATAACAAAGTTTTAATCTTTTCCCAAATCCTAAAAAGTCAATTAAAGTCAACACTGGGCCCATACGGTCAGAACCTGAGTCAAGGGGTAGATCCCTACTATCCATAACCGTGAGAGTTAAAATATGTGATTAGATTTCAAATACAAGTCCAAATCGACTCCCAAATCCCCAATTTTTATTTTCTTAAGTTGTAGAAAAAATTCTCAAATTTTCCTTTAAAATTTCATGTTTGGGAGTTAATAATCCATATGATTCTTGAAATAATAATAGAAATGTGTAGAAATCACATGCCCCAAAGCCTTTTATGAAAACCCTTTTAAACATCGCCCCTCTCCAAGTCTAGGGTTCAAAATGTGAGATAATGGGTCTAAGTCCCAAAATTAGCTCACTAAAACTAACTGCAAATATTGCATTTGCGACCAGGGGTTCGCAAATGTGATCCTCACAAATGCGAGGATTAGCTCGCAAATTTGAACATGCTCCCTCAGTGTCATTCCTCACAAATGCGACCAGGAGAGTCGCAAATGCGAATAAGTGTCACAAATGCGTACAAGTTTCACAAATACAATACTCCCTTCGCAATTGTGACACCAGCTAGCCTTCTCAGCCAACCATCACAAAAGCGATCAACAATCTGCAATTGCGGACCTTCGCAAATGCAAGCAGACCATCGCAAATGCGAGGTCTGCAGGACTAGAAAATCCTCAACTTCCCAATACCAATTCGAAACTCACC